CCCCACCCGATGTGAATTATTAGACCACGTCGATCAATGCTTTATACCGGACAAGATGTGCATTTATAGTTTTTAACAAGGTGAAAGAAGTTGAGAGTAAAATTTCAGACTCAATATTCTCACATTATTAACTCTATTACAAAGAATCATTTTCTCTAACACAACAATTACTTAGGATCAATGTACCTGTATTGCTCATTTTTGACTTGCCGATACATTTTGATCCAGTGCCTAGAGCCACAGCTCTCAGATGGTACTTTTTGTTCTCACCTGAAAAGAGAGAGGAAAAAAAAAAATTCTTCAAATTAGTAGCTCCTCGTTGCTTATTGCCCTCGGCAGTTTTGAGATATCGAGTAAAATCTTAATTTATTCTTTTCCAAACTTTGAACTATTAAATCCCTAATTTCCAGTGATTAATTATATTTTTGGAACCAAAGCAGCTAGACTAACACTCTTTTCATCCATTAATGAAACTTGCACAGGATCTTTACTTTGATCCATGTTGTATTCTATCAAAATGGAACACATGCGACTTGTTTTGTCGTGTTGCTCCATCACGTGGACTACCACTATTTTAGCTCCATCATGTGGGCTACCAATACTCTTGCTTCATCCAGACCAAGAATAGTGAACAGTACAGTACATTGATACTGCTACTATCCAGTGACCACAGAACAAGTTTTTGTGCAATTCCCATTGGACAGGGTTTGACGTATAATTTGAGAGGGCTCAGATTTACCTTCACGGAGGGGCAAAACTACCATTTTGGCACATTTGATCTGATCTTTCTAATATTCAAACATGTTCAATTTTCCAAGCCCTGATCTGGAGCAGTTGATAAAAAAGACCACAACCAACAGCCAGTCAGAATGTTATTGTGTCACATGACCCTGCAGGGCCACAACTTTCGCTTTCAAGTGGAATACAGTAGAGTCACATAAGGACTTCTGGGTCAAATTTGATGAAGCAGGTTGCACTATATTTGATAAAGTATAAAGCATGTCATTGGCAAGCCCCATTTCCCCAGTCTGAGCCACTCCATCTGAACTTGCAGAGATCAAATTCAACTGACAAATATAATTCCAGTTGAAAACTTTATATATAATGCCACTGACTGGACTGCAATGATAGCACCTTTGAAGTAAAAAAAATTATGTGATAATTTAACTCATCATTTAATACCATTCACATTGTTGTCGTCTTTTGATTGCTGACGATATCTCATGATAACAGTAGACAACAAAGTCCATTCCTTCAGTTTCTGAGGTTTTCCTTTCTTGGGTAGCGTTTTGTATTTGTTGTGGGCAGCAGCGGCTACTTCGGCAGGGAAACTTTCCTCATTGCAGAAATCTTCTCGCATCTTCCGACTCATTTTTCTCTCCAGATGGTCATGAAGTTGAAGGTCATAAAACTCTGCGGAAAACCATATAAAAATATGAGCATATTTTACTCATAAGTTAACGAAATGATTCGAAAGGCAATGGATCTAAACAAGATCCAGTTGTGAAACAGACATCATCAGTTTTGGTTCCCCAACGTCCTTTCTCAGCCTGGATGCTATTTTAAAAAAAACCTATATCATTCTTGTCTTTTTCCCTCATCCATCTGTTCAAGTTCTCTGAGTAAGTTATACTGATCTACATCTTCTTCTTTTGACTTTTATTTGTCAGTGACAGTGACAGAACACATTCTTGTCAAGGCCATTTAGTTGATTCAAGTTCAAATGTTATTTATTATAAAAGCTGCACTGGTCCCTTCTGAGTTGTTTTAATTTGTGACCATCCCACTCTGGATTCTCCGTATTTCCTCATTTCGCTTTTTTATTTTCGCACCATAATTTATACGTAGTGACTATTTCTCTGAACGTTCAGAGAAATAGTGCTGATCTTTATTTCTCCGAACGGTTTCCGGCTTCCGGTCTTGTAATTTTTTGCCTATTTATTGCGAGAGTTCGGCGCCAACTTTCATTCTGCCTCCTCTGGTCTGGGAAGGGGAAGGAACACCGCATGGCAAGCCCGCCTACATACAACCTTCAGTAACACCCATCACACACCCACCACCATCATGCACATGTACACACACAAACTTATACACACACTAACTAAACATGATCAGTGGGCAACTTTTGAACGTATGACGAGCTGAGTTGTGGATGGAGAGACAGTGTGAGTGACAGAGCGGGTGAAAGGAAGAGTTTACGAGTGTATCCACAGGCGACAGCAACTACAAGACGACGACACCGACCCCCCCAGGCCTGGTCCACAGCTCACGAACGAAAGGAATGTGGCTAAGGCAGTGTTTTGCCTATACATTTTTGTATTATTGTCCATGGTTCGCAGGGTGCAAGGGAAAGAGTGAGATTTTCTTTGTGTGTGCCTGGAGGGAGGGGGTGGGGTGTGAAAGTCATGAGGACGGGGATGAGCCGCGGGAGGGAACACAGGAATTGAATGAATGAGTGAAACTGAAAGAGAGGAACGACTCATGAGCACTGGAGTGAATGGATCCTGTGTTTCTATTTTTGAATACTTTGAACTGCTACTGAATAAAGGCTGAAATAAAGCCCGAAAAGCACACACACACTCCTCACTCTCCACTTACACACTTACTACCACACACAGACACACTCACACATGCACATGCATAGACACACACACACACACACACACACAGGAGCAAATTTTTGGGTCTATATCTATTTCAATTTTCAAGAGCTAGTCTAGAGATTTTTAGATGAGTGTAAAAACATGAAAAAGAAAGGTTTCACAACAGAATTAAATCAAAATTAGTCGAACAGCCCATAAATAACCACAAAAATTAACAAATAAGGGTGTGTGTCAACCTGTCCGAAGAAGATTGCCTGTTTCAACCCTAAAAGTGCGTAAATTTTTTTAAAAGTACAGGATATAATGTAAATTATATGGAATCACACACATTAAGGGGCCTGCCAGTGTCAGTACATGTAATCGGTTTTGGTGGAACGTACGCTCTGACATAAAACATTTAAATTTATATATATATATAAATATAAATGTAGGCCCTATATATTTAGAATCTAATGAAGGTAGGAACATAAAATTAAATGACGTTAGACTATGCAACACCCCCCCCCCCCCCTTTCCCCAACAAAAAATAAATTGATAGAAAAACAACACATCAGAAAAATAACAAGAAAAAAAATTACACTTACACATTAACAAAATAAAATACCACAAAGAGTCAAAGAGGGAAAAATAAAAGTAACTGTAACGTATTCAACAAATCAATGTGGTGACAACAATTGAGAAAGAGACTAAGTGAAGCTAAGTGAACTTTCTTTCAAAAGTAAAGAGGTTCGGTTTCTTTCTTTTTTTCCTGTTAAAAAAAATTTGACTTTATTCCCCGACCAAAAAATGCCCAAAAATCGAACCACGATTGATTGGTCGCGGCCGCGACAAACGCAGAAGCTAGTTCTATGTGTCGTTATCAATAACCCTCCGTAGATCTAGATCTAGACAGCGCACGAGTGAACACAACACATTAAGTTTAAGAGCAGCACCCTTCATAGGCAACACGTCATATATATATCTGTAGCGAAAAACTGTTTGGAACTGTAGCATTTCTTTATATAAATATTTACTGCGGACATTTTTTTTGGACCGATTGAACCATATTGTATACAAACAATCTTTGGTAGGCCTATACTCTATTATAATATCCGAAATTTGCGGGAAAGGATGTGATTTCAGAGTGTTCGGAGAAATAGTGCCCAGCTTTATTTTCCCGAACGTTCGGAGAAATAGTGCCTAGCTTTATTTTCCCGAACGTTCGGAGAAATAGTGCCGGCCTAATTTATAAGTTATTTTTCATTTTTGTTGCTACAATCCATGGCAATTTTTTGTTTTATTTCTGAGGTTGAGGCAGAGTACATGACACATCTACCATGAAAAGACAAAAAGTTATAGTTCAATAATAACTATACGAAGTGGCTAGCCGTACTTAAGTACGGCTAGACTGCAAGTCTAGCCGTACTTAGATCTAGGTTTGGCCCTATCGACTCAAGCCTGTTAAGTACACAGGTCTCATTAGATCTAGATGTAGTAATTATTCAGGTTCAAATACATGCAAGTCAGTAAGGCACCTTTTTGTTTTGTCTGAAATACAAATACTTTAGGCATTGCAAACTAAAAATTTCATTTACAATTTAGCCATCAATATTAAGTACGGCTAGCCTGACAGTCTAGCCGTCCTTAAGTACGGCTAGCCTGGCTGTCTACCCGTACTTAAGTACGGCTAGACTGCCAGTCTAGCCGTACTTATCTTAGGCCCTATTAACATTAGAAAACAGGAGGTTTAAAATACATGCACTGTCATTTAGGCACCTGGTTTCGTCTCAAATACAAATACTTTAGGTACTGCACACTAAAAAAGTATATTTACAATTCAGTAGGCCTATTTTTTGTTAAATGGTCAGTCTAGCCATCATATTAAGAATAAGTACGGCTAGACTGCGAGTCTAGCCGTACTTAAGTACGGCTAGACTGCCAGTCTAGCCGTCATTAATACGGCTAGCCTCTTCCATAACTATAAAATATAATAGATCAAGAAAATCTAGATCGAGTTCTAGATCTAGCTAGAATCTAATCTAATCTAGATCTAGATAGATCTATATCTATATCTAGATAAACTAGATCTAGAATCTAGATCTAGATCTAGATTCTAGTAGAATCTACGAAGATGAGATTTAAATCCTAAACATTTGACGAATGAATTTGACGTGCTTGGTTTGAACTTTTGGCACTCTTTGGAAATCGCCTTTTCGTTTCAATTGATAATTTGCCATGTAAGCGTGAAGATTGAGCTTTTTAAAAAAAATTATTATTTTTGCTTTGGGCTAGGTTGTATCCACTACAACAGATCGCATCGCTGAGATCGGCACCGCATGTTGCATCTCTGAGTAGACTAGAGGCCTAAGTTTGTTTTGATTTCGTGGTTCAAAGGGGGATAACTCCCGTTATAATTTGAAAAACAGTAGAGTGCTTTCCCCTGAATTTGTCCTAAGATGGCAGCCTCCATGAATCGCTTAATGTTTTCAAAGTTATGTTCGCTTTGTGGTACAATGCACTCACTACAGCGGTTCCTCTTTCACAGATTACACACTGCCAGATCAAAGCGACTAAATTGTCAAAGTGCAGTCAACGTATTTTCTGACAATGATATAGAAAGGTCTCTAATGTTATTTTATTTTGGACTTAAGTACGGCTAGCCATTTCGTATTATTATTATTCATTATATTATAATAAATAGATCTTGATCTAGATAAATAGATCTAAATCTAGATCTAGAATCTAGTATAGGAGGCCTAGATCTAGATATATAGATCTAGAGCTAAATCTATATTTTAATGAATTTATGAGTGAGGCTTGACTAGATTCTAGATCTAGATTCTAGATCTAGAATCTAGACTCTAGGAGTCTAGAGTCTAGGTCATTAGGAGGATGATTAGGATGAACGTGCCAATCATCTATCAGAATTTTTCTTGCGAGATCAAGTAGAAAAACTGAATCTAAATTAAAAGGGTGAAAGGAGTTATGCAGAGGACTGGCCGACCAACAACACCTAACCCTAACCCTGTACTAGCTATACTACCCCTAAACTAGGCTAAACTTGACCTAACTTTAACCACATGCGGCTAAACGTAGTACGACACATCTGCCTGATTGGCTACTTATTTTAATTTTAGCAATTTGATGTCATCACATCCTGGGATACCCGCAGACTAGCCTATTTTTAGAAGGCCGTGGGGATACCAAAGATTCTCTACTACACTACACATTACATGATCTTTGGAGATATCGCTTGGAACGACATGTTGGGTCAGTGGCTTGACCTATTATCAGTGTCAATGTGTTTCGAACTGTATAATTTCACACTTGCGGCTAACTGCAGCATGTCAGCCATACTCTGATGATGGAAGATCGCTTAGATGCTTTATACCAGCATGTACAAGAGCCAACACACCACAGAGCTAGCCAACAGGCCAATATAATCTTAGACTTGATATTCACAAATGTAATGAGGAGGGCATGATAGAGGAAGTGAACTATGAACCTCCCTTAGAGAAAAGCCACCACTCTACCCTGGTCTTTCAGATAAATTGCTATGAAAAAAGATAAACCGCACAGGCCCCGCTATGTGTATGACAGAGCCGACTGTGACAGGATTAAAAATGATCTTCAATCAATAAACTCGGAGACTACCCTTGATGAACTAACATTTGAAGCCACCTGGACAGAGATCAAACAAATACTAATCAATAGTATGGACACAAAAAAAATATATTCCCAGGAGCAGACCTGGAAAAAAGCTGAGAAACCCACTGTGGATGAATTTTATTGAATGACAAGGCTTTGGCCATGGTTAAAGAAAAACACACCACTTTCAAAAGGTATTATATGAGACAAGAGAGGGTAAGGACTATGCAGACTAAGCAAAAGCAAGAAACCAAGCCAAATGGGAATGCCGCAAGGCAGTACGAGACTTTGAAAGAAAGATAGCCCAAGAATCCAAGCAAGACATCAAAGCATTTTTCAAATATGCCAAGAGCAAACTGAACACAAGGAGTGGTATTGCGGATCTGGTCTGTGATGATGGTAGTGTGGCAAGCACGGACAAGGATAAAGCCGAGGCTCTCAATAGTTTTTTCTGCTCAGTCTTCACGAGAGAGGACACAAGAGAAATACCTGAGTTTCAGCACAGAGATGTTAATTGTAAGTTTGAAGATATGCATATATAACTAAAGAAGATGTGCTCAAGAAGCTTGCTAAGCTAAATCCCATCAAAGCCCAGGATCCAGACAACATCCCATCATCCGTCCTCAAACAATGTGCCTCTGAACTAGCTGCCCCGCTGGCAACTCTAATGAATAGGTCACTGCAGGAAGGAGTTATACAGTGGAGTCCACTTTATAACGAGTCCTGACACAACGAGAAGTCTGTTATAAAGACACTATTCTAAAACCCCGTTTTTTTCTCCTTCTTTATCTTTGTAAATAAAATACTGCTATTGCGCAATCAGACCGTCGCGCGAGTCGGTTTTAACGGAATATTGCTGCTGCTGTGCACAGCGCACAGACCAATTATATATATATTATAAATATAAAACCTTGCCAGTTGAGAAAGTTGTTGGTGATCCAGCGAAAGTAAGAATGGGAGAGCCCACGCGAACCAACAATGAAGGCCGGAGCGAATGAGTAGGGAGGGAGTGGCATGCGCAAACAAGCAGAACGCATTGTGTGATAGGCCAGCCTAGTCTAGATTATCTAGGCCTACTATGCCTCTCACTTCTCTGGTGCGGGATGGAGAGGTCACAATGCTGTGATAGATGGAGTGAATGTGTGACATGTGCAAGCAAACGCAACGCACCACAGGGTGGGGTGGGGTGGGGGACAACACCGCGGGCGAGTTAGCCTAGAGCCAGAGCCCTTTCTTTCTGATCACCAACGCCGAGCTGTCAACATTGCTAGGGCTAGAGAAAGAAACCTAATTTGATTTTTGATCAAGTAAGACCTACAGATCATGTGGAACAAATCATCATCAGGGGAAATACAAAAAGGAATAAACAGAACGCCAAACTCATACATTAGGCCTACTTTACTATTTCCCTTGAATTTATTACTGGATCCCTTGTAACGAGAATCCTGCTATAACTGACATTTCGCACCGGTCCCCTCCCTCTCGTTATAACAGGATTCCACTGTACCATCCAAGTGAAAGCTAGCCCATGTTTCACCTATCTTCAAAAAAGGCAAAAAAACCACCCCAAGAAACTGTCGTCTAGTGAGTCTAACGAGCGTGGCCTGTAAGGTATTGGAATCCATCATCAGAGATCAGCTCATTAAACATTTCCAGCAAAATGACCTGTTGAGCAACTGTCAACATGGTTTCATGAGCGGCAGAAGTTGTTCAACCAATCTGTTAGCGGTGATTGACCTATGGACTTCAATCATTGAGGCAGATGACTGTGTCGACACCATTTATCTAGACTTTGCTAAGGCCTTCGATTCCGTCCCTCACGAACGTTTATTGACAAAACTGGAAGGCTATGGAATTGAGGGGCAGATTCATGCTTGGATAAGGGACTTCTTGACTGATAGGCAACCGTGTGTGGTTGTAAACGGAGAGGAGTCATCCTGGGAGCATGTGCAATCGGGAATCCCTCAGGGAAGTGTGCTAGGTCCGTTTCTCTTTGTATGCTTCGTCAATGACCTCCCTGAAAATATCCTCTCTGCTACTTTTCTGTTCACGGATGATACAAAGATTTTTGCTGAAGTACCTGACTATTCGGACAACCTCCAGGATGACTTGAACAGACTCCAGCTCTGGTCTGATACGTGGCAATTGAGGTTTAATGCAGAAAAGTGCAAGGTTTTGTACATTGGGAAAAATAGAAACCCCTGTGAGTACAAGATGACATCCAAAGGTGAATGCATCACTCTAGAATCTGTGAGACTAGAAAAAGACCTAGGTGTGAATATTGATAGTGATCTAAAATTCAGCAAACATGTCAGTATCCAGGTCAACAAAGCTAACAATCTTCTCGCACTGATCCAGAGAGGTTTCATAATGCTGGACAAAGTGTCCCTTTCTACTCTGTACAAATCAATCATTCGTCCTCATCTAGAGTATGGAAATGTGGTCTGGCACCCCAGACTTAAAGGTGATGAAGAACAACTTGAAAAAGTGCAACGTCGGGCCACCAAACTAATTCCTGAACTACAGCACCTTGCTTACTGCGATCGTCTCAGAAAATTGGATCTGCCATCGGTGTACTATCGGAGAGCTAGAGGCGACATGATTGAATGCTACAAGTATTTAACAGGAATTTACAACGTAATGGCAGACATTTTACCACGGGATCTACACTCTAACACAAGGGGACACAGCCTAAAATTGAAAAAAACCCATGTGAAAACAGCAGTCCGCCAAAACTTCTTCAGTGTACGCACAGTTAACACTTGGAATTCCCTACCAGAAAATTTGATGTCGGCACCATCCTTGAATGCTTTCAAGAATAAGATTGACATGGTCTGGAAGGCACATAAATTCTCCATGAACCTAGACTGGTTTCAAACTGCCAGATCCATGAGCACCAACCTACAGATAACAGAGTGTGAAAACAACGAGCAGGAAGGAACAAGCAATGAAAGCAACGAACGGCTGATAGGCGACTAGCCTGACCACAGCCGTACTTCAAAACTAAAACTAAAAAAACTAGATCGTTGATGCTCAGAACAGTAAGAGAACTGATGATTGAAATTGAAACACGGTAAATGCAAAGAAAATAAAGCACGCGAAAATTTCCATAACGCCCAGAGATTACTACCCCGGGGCCTGATAAACAATGCACAGAAGAGATTATAAGCAGCAGCATCATCAGAGCACTGCATCATATCACATTACCTGTATGTCTCCTGGAAAAACGTTGCACCAAAATGTCGTGCCATGGTAGGTATACACGATCTTTGATGCCATGCGGTTGGCTACATTCAGATCATGTAGTCACGTAATCATAGAGGTTTCCCTGTCTGACGTCACTCAAGATGGCCGCCTTACCTAAAAATAGTTTGCCTCGTTCTACGCTTAGTTGCATGTAGAAACTTTAACCCTAACCTTAACCCCAACCCTAACACATGCAGCTAAACGTAGAACGACACACCTGCCTGATGGGCTGCTAATTGTATGTGATTTCATCACATCTTGTTGGTAGTGTAAACACGGCTTCGCGGGTACTCGCGGCCTTCCGACCGCGTGGTATCGGTGAAATTATATGTCCGATTATTAGGAGCTGGAGAATTGCCGACGAAAGCGAAGCCCCTCGCGGTCGGCCGGTTGAAAAATTGGCACGCGTGCATTCAAATGCTTCGCGGAACGAGGGATGATTAAATACTGTATTTCCATTGGCGGAAAACTGTAGAGCTTTAAACGAGCTTTCCTGTGGTATATATTTGGCCTTCGGCGTCTAAATAGAAAGCATTAAAAAATACTGTCAAAATGTTTAAAGATCACTTTTTACAAAAAATATGTAAAATACCGGCTTATAAAAGGTATCAATTAAAAGATCGGTGCATTTTCCATTAAAATAAAGTAATCAACTTGGAATGATTTTTCATCAATCCTTCCGCGAGACTCGGAAAGCATGTGAAAGCGGGGGACACTACAGTATAGAGCCGACTCGCTCGCCGCGGGGACCGGTGCGGCGCCGGCCGCGTCAATTCTCAGTGTTTTAGTCGAAATAACAACAGATCATCGTGTTTGAGGCGATAAAATACTGATTTGTAATGATCTCAGTCTTGAAAAAAAATTAGGCTCCATATATTTGTTAAAGTGATTGTACTCTGTTAATGTGGAGATGTTTAGTGCTCTTGGTACTCTTTCATTGTCTGTCAAACATGGAGTTGCAGCCAGTGACTGACTTTAACAAAATTGATCAAATTTTAAACAACTACCATTTTCTTAAAATTTGACTGAGAGGTTAAAGAATGGTACCAAAATGCTCAGTGGATATAGGCCTTTCAAATGGAACAGATAAATTTGGCATACAGCTACTTCGAAACTTAAGTTTCTGGTACCTACATCTTGGGATACCCAAAGACTATTTTTAGAAGGCCATGGAGATACCAAAAATTCTCTACTACTACTACTCGATCATTGGAGATTCCGCGTAGAACGACATCATGTTGGGTCCGTGGTTTGATGTATAAATCCGTATCGATGTGAAATTCCGGTACTTGGACACAATAGAAGATAGTTTAGATCGTTGATGCTCAAAACAGTAAGAAAGCTGATGCTTGGAATTGAAACACGGTAAACGCAAAGTCAATAAAGCGCACGAAAATTGCCGTAAAGACGCCGGAAGATTACCCCACCTCCCCCGGGCCCGATATTCAATGCACCGAAGAGATAAGCAGCAGCATCATCAAAGCATCGTGCCCTCAAAGATTCTCTACTACTGTATACCTGATCTTTGGTGCCATGGGGTTGGCTATATATATTTAGATTAGTCACGTGATCGGAGGGATATCCTGATCTGACATCTCCCAAAATGGCTGCCTTACCAAAAAATAGTTTGCGGAGTTCTACATTTTAGTTGCATGTAACCCTAACTCTGACTATAAGTTTGCTCAGTGGACCTTGGCATGGTAAGTGCTGACCCTCTTCGGAACTCCTCCCAGAAAGGTAATTTAAGCTATCTTCCCCCCCGCTAGCCAAAACCTACTATATTTTAGGAATTTTGGGCCTCATTATTATAACTTCTTGCTCTACCCACCATTTTTTCCTCATTAATTTGTTTTTTTAATCAATTAATAATAAACAAACTAGTCTTGATCTAGTTCTGTAGGCTAATATGGGGTGCCCATTGGCACGATCGGGTCGGGTTGGTTTGCTAGCCAGCATGAGGGCACAAAGTGGCTATCGTGGCACAAACCTATCGCCCAACTCAGCGCCTTAAAAACAAACGCGTTTGTTTTCAGGCTTCAAGTCGGTGGATCGACCCGACCCAACCCGATCCCATCCACAATTGGCACCTGGTATAATACTAATTGTAATGATTGTCTGATGTTAAAATGGGAATGAACTGTGTTGCGAGTGTTGAAAGAATGATTCTCTATTGTCCCGGTTGTGTCCCCCTTCTAGGTACGTCACACATTTGCCTCGTTTCCATTCTGCACATGGGATTTCAGTGTGATCAAAAGTAAATAAAGGTCAGTTATCGGCAGGCAGGCAATGAGAGCAGTTGTGTTGTTGTCTCTCTTCATGTATTAATCTTTCTTAAAATGTGAGGCCATAGGTAGCCGTCACACTAATAGTATTTGTATTGTCTGTATTGTGCTGCTAAACGCAAATTGTGGTAAAGTCCAATTAAAATGGTCAAAATTATCCAAGAAGGCCACCCATTGTCAAGAAGAAAAGTGGTTGTCTTGGATGTCTTGGTTGCATGAACAGGTTGGGTTGTATTATATTAGATTTTTTACGGCAATAATAATGATTTATATTCCAGACATGCTCGTTCCGAGTGGCAGAGTGTAATTGGACTAGAAATTCATGCACAGATTCAGTCCCGCTCCAAGCTTTTCTCTAGAGCAGGAACAAGCTATGGAGCCAGCACCAACTCCCAAGTTTCTCACTTTGACGCTGCTTTACCTGGCACTCTGCCTGTGAGTTACACGACAGTTTTGAACTGAAGATGAAGATGTAGCACTGCTGGTCACTATTTATTATTGGTAGCAAAAGGACTCTCAACATTTTGAAAGCAGTTTCAGAAGCGAAGTAGTGGGATATCTTGATTTTTCTCTCCCCAAAAGAAAATACAAGCACTAGCACTGCATTGTTATGATTACATTTACTGAGTATTGCGTCAGCATGAATAAGATTTGGGTAATAGTATAAAAAGTTATAAAACTTGAACAGGCAATGTCCAAACATAATTTTAAGTTCATTTCTTAAAAGTTTTGTTCGGTAAGCTTGAAGTGCTTATAATTTTATTTTATGAGAGATTTATGTTAAAGATTTATTTGGTTGCTAAGTTGCAGTGAAATCAACTTTCTAAGCTTTGTTCAGTAACCATAGCTCATTCTTTTCAAGTTGTATTCAAATTAAAGACTATCATGTACATACAAACATATATTCAAATTCAAATGATAAATCATCACATATGTACACATTGCATTCAAATCTTAGGTCATCACATACATTGAATTCAAGTTATAAATCATCACATACACGTTGTATTCAAATCTTAGGTCATCACATCGTTGTATTACATTTTAAATTATCACGTATATACAGTTTGTTTTCAAATCTAAGGCCATCACATTCAAGAGAAACACATTGTTTTCGTCCTCAGGTTCTTAACCGTCGCTGTGTGGAGGCTGGAGTTTTGACGGCTCTTGCTCTTGGCTGTGACATTAACATGGTTTCAAAATTTGATCGGAAGCATTATTTCTATGCTGACTTACCTGTGAGTTTTTTTATATGTGTGTTAAACAACATGAATATATTCAAACAACACACTGTCCTTGCTGATGCTACTACCATGTGATTAATGTACAATAATTGAGTCAATGAGTATTTGATTCTTTGACGGGAAAACAGTTTTTTATTAAATTTTTCTACTGACTAAAAAATTATGTTGTGTCTAATGACAAGGGTTCTACAACCTTTTTTTAACGTACCTAATACTCAGAATAAGTTCCTCGAAACAATCACCTAGCGAAACTCATACATAGCGAAACATACATAAAGGGAAACACAAATTGCAAACAGAGTATAATGGGTGGTTGGCGGGTGGTCTGGTGTGATTTGCTTCTTCTTTCCTGTCAAACATCTATCGTCTTTATCTCCCCTCCTTCTTTTTTGTGTATGTTACTCTCTTGTAACACATCTATTCTTTGGCACTTATATGACCTTATTGTGTTGCAAGTGCAGTAAAACACTTACTAAAACTAAAAACAGAATATCAAGGCCCTAATTTGTACCTGTATGTGCATTTTTTTCTCTGTATTTTAGCAACATTTCTTGAAATCGAAAAGATTTCTATGTCTTAACAATTATGCTCCGTGCGTGCTAGATTATATATATGGGCTAAAGACTGTGAACCCAGCTATGTGTGCTAAAGAACCTCTACTCCTTGCCAGGCTGGCTATCAGATCACCCAGCAGAGACAGCCCCTGGCGGTCAACGGTCAGGTGACGTACGTGTACCAATGTTCTCGCACCAGCCGCGTGGAGCGGAGGTCGGCCAGGCTCATCCAGCTACAGCTGGAGCAGGATAGTGGCAAAAGTTTACACGACAGCGAACAGAGACTGAGCCTGATCGACCTCAACCGTGCAGGTTTGTTCTTGTATGGAAGGGCTCCCGGAAACTTGAGAGGGTCTTTGGCGGTATATCTGTAGTTGTGAAATAGACTGTTGATTTGTTACAAATGAGGTTATAGACAGACTGTTCTCTCTCTGTCTCTTTTTGTCTGTCTCTTTTTCTCTCTGTCTCTCTGTCTCTGTCTCTCTGTCTTTCTCTGTATCTCTCTCTCTCTCTCTCTCTCTCTCTCTCTCTCTCTCTCTCTCTTTCTCTCAATGTCCTACCTAGAATCCGTATTGCAGTGAAGAATGAGCATATTTCATACGTTTTACTTCTAGAGATACATGTAATCGTAGGTGGTTGGCGGGTGCTCTGGTTTGGTTCGCAAAGTCTTTCCTATCCAACATATGTCGTTCTTAACCCTCCGCATTCTTGTCTGTGTTTGTTACTCTCATAACACCTCTAAATATTTTCGGGATTTATAGGTCCATATTGTGCTGCAAGTGCTGTAAAACTGTTTAAAACTAAAGAGATAATTGTAGTACAGTTAAGCAAGAAAAGCTTAGATAAGTCTCCCTTAAAATCTCTGAAAAAGACAAACAGAAATGCAGCACTAGACTTAACAATAACGAAA